ACATTTTAATAGTAAAGAAACATCCATATATTTAAAAAGAGGTTGATGTCTAGCAGGCATGGGGAAGGGACAGAGGAAGTCATCAGTACAAAGGTGACTGAAGGGGACTAGCTAAAGTAGCGTAGAGGCAATGGAAAGGAAAAGGAAACACAGCTTCCAGTTATTAGGTATTCAAGAACTACGTGCCCAAGCGCAGGACAAGGTTGGGAAATGAATGCTCAGAATTCTCCACTCCCGGGAAGCAGCTTTATGGATTTAACAAGAAGTGCAGGAGCTTTGCAGACTGACTGACATGGGACTGAGGTATTGCACTGTTACTTACTCTGTACTTGAAGCAATTTACTTAAAAGGTCTGTCTTTCACCATGTATAAAACAAAAGTAATAATATTTATCTCATAGGGACAATATGAATATTATGTGAGATAATGTATTGGATTGGAGGTATTCGATTCTTCTTCTTCTCCTTCTCTCTCCTTCTCCTTCTCCTTCTTCTTCTACTTCTCCTTTCAATACAGAAAAAAAGCTTTTCCAATGTAGCCAGAATTGCCCAAATGTAAATGAAGAGGACCTCATGATATTTTCTAAGGCTTATTAATGAATGCAAAGGCTGATATATTATTTTAGTTATCATGAAACACTGATTTAGTGAAGACATAAGACAATTGGTAGAAATATTCAGTATGGAAAATTGTCACCAACCGGGACAAAAGGGTATCAGTTAATGTGGCATGTAAGAAAAGGTCCCTACGAATTTCTGTTTTTTCCAGCAGTGACTTTCTTGAGACTGTTGAGTCCCATATTTAAAAAGTCACTTAACTTAGGTATCTCAGTACATTTGCTTGTGAAGGGTGCAATGTGGTATTTTTCTACTAGTAAAGTAATATTTCACATAGGATGTTAAGAGGACTCTGCATAAAGGTGAAAAATCCTTGCCTAGATTATGTTTGATCATTTCATACTTTTGAGGTTAAAAAATATGAATTCAATTCACAATTAAACATACGCATCTATAACCTTTTTTCTCCAAAATTTCCTTATACAACTAACTAGTAATTGCTGGCCAAAGAAAGGGTATTTTTTTTTTACATTATTGAAGATTAAATGGAGTTTAATATTTTCTTCTTATTAAAATAGCATTGTGAATGCTTTTCAAAATGAAGTGCTCCTGAAAGGTACCAAATCACAATAAAAATCAATCTTGTTTTTGAAATATATTTTCACTGAAGCCAAACCAAATCACCCTGAAATTCAGTATTATGTAGCAGTTAAATGTCTAACCAGACAGCTTCTACACAAACTAGAGAAGTTGTGGTTTTTACCCTGAGATAGGGCTGATTATGCTAGTGCTATGGCAACCAGTTGCACCATTTGGAAGCGCTTGTGTGCTTAACCGCATGAGCTACACCTCTTCCTTTCCTATAAAGACTCAGAATAAGAAAAACAGAAGTTCGAAAGGAGGAGAAACCACAAGGGCAGTAAAGACACTGCTGTGAGCTTTTAGCTGTGCAAACAGCAGTCTGTGAGAACAACACACTGAAAACCTCTTCTCTTTCAAATTGTAGCTTTCCCCATTATGCCAGGTTTCTTTAATGATTTTGAAAGTAACCCAAGTGTTGCTGTTCAGCATTTGTGTGGAGGGGAAACGAGAAGAAATTAGTGGTGTATTTATCAGCCTTTGCTGGATTTTCCTCAGCTTTGGGGGGTTGGAGGGCTGCAAATGGTGCAGGCTTGGTGGACATTTGATCCTATGGGTGATATGGATACTGGTTTGTTAGGAGATCTCTCAATAACCTAGCACTTATTTTCTGTTTATTTTTTATTGTCTTGTGTTTAGTTTACATGCACACACATAGTATAATTTTAATCTGCCTCCTGGTTGTTAGAAAAGTTTGTGGGTGCTGTTGTGAATAATCTTGAGCAGAACTAGATGAAATCGGTGCCCCCTACCCTCTTCACTTGTTTACCCCCTTACCCTGTTCCTTACAAGTTACAGGTTTTGTGAGCAAAGGTTTTTTATTGCTTTTGTTTTAATTTAAAGCATAGACATGAGAAGAGCAACACGTTTTCAAGCACGTTTTACTGCTTTTTCTTCCTTGATGATTTGGGTAAAAACACCAAGGACGCACAAGTTCATGTGATTGCTTTATTTTGTCACAGGCAGGTCTGTTCACTTGTCCTTCCCCTTTTATGCTACATTGAAAGAATTTCCTTCTTTTACAATTATCGTCTAGTAGTTTGTGCTCTTTTAACAATAAGTTTTAATGTGTGACAGTTTGAACAATGTTCATACATGGTATTTTACTTATTGTTGAGTTCCTCATAGCTATTTGGCACAAGGAGTAAATTTAGCCCTCGGTCTTTTTCCCTGTAGCACAGTGTGGTTGAACAAGCATGGGCTTTTTGGAATCAGATATGCATTGAAATCTACACTTACTTTCCTATGAGTTTTTTAGCCTTGCTCATATTTATTTATGTTCTTGACGCTTCATCTATAAAAAACAAATAATGCTATCTGCTCTGTAGGAGTCCTATAATAATTAGATAAAATAATACGTAATGTTATTTAGCACAGTGCCATCCATCTGGTAGCTGCTTATTAAACAGTAACTATTATTAATAGGACTGAAGACATTGATCAGACAATTTCTTCACTTGTGCAAAGGTACTTTGGTATTTCTTTATATTTCTTTGACTATGACCTTAGCCATTCTAGAGGACATGAAAAGCCACAAAACCATACCAACAGACTAGTACAGTTAATGGTTTTTGTTCTCTGAAGTGCAATGTATAAGTAAAGTATATGTCCCTGGATTTAGAGTAATGAGAATAAGGCATTTTTATAAAAATAAAAAACAATATGGAAATTAAAGTATTAAAAGACATCTGGGTTAAAAAAAATGAGTATATAGATATAGTTAAGGAGACATCTTTACCAATTGTTCTTAACTCTTGTTCCCCATTGTAATCACTGAAGTTTAAGAAAAAAACAACATGGTTCACTTCACACCATAAATTTACTCAATCAGAATTTCCAGAGGTGGAGCCCAGTAATCTGTACTTTCAATTTTATGCATAGCTAGGATTATGCAATAGAAGATTGATATTTTGTATTAATCAGGATTACAATATTGACATACCAACACACACACACACACACACACACACATAACTGATACAAATGAGAATTTCATGAGCTACGTTCAAAAGAACACTGCCATTCCATTGTGCATGTTCTATGAGTATGTGACTTCTGGCCAATACTTTTGGGAGATCCTGGGTTAAAGGAAACTACATAAACTTATCTATGCCTTTAATATGCTAATGCAATTTATGAATCTTTCCAAAGGGCATGTAGAATTACTTTTAAAAGTATTTTAACTATGGGACTTTTTATGGCACGTGAATCTAAATCAGAGACCTGTTTCCCCATTAGCAAGCAGGAAGTGATAATCTAGATTCCCCATGAATTATTAATAAATATTATAAGATAGGAAAAATGGAACATAACCACTTTTTCATACCTATTTCTAAAATTGATTACATAGAGTTTTAAGACAAATATAAAAGATTTGTAAGTGCATGATTAATTTTCTAGGTTAAAGTATGTGCATACTCACATTGACTCACAAGTGAAAAATAATATTTACAATATTATGCATGATAATTATTTAGGAGAGAGGTGAACACAATTTCTATATTTAAAATTATTAATTATTTTGTTTTTTTAACCCCAAGGCTGTAAACATTCATCCTTTTATCCCTAACTCTCTTACATAGTGATATTTTTCTTTGTTATTTGTATTTTTATATAAAAAGTGTTTGAACATTTAGACAATTACTTCAACTCCTATAGTAAAGAACAGTTCTTTTCCAACCCCCATTTTCCACCTTTGATAATATCGTGCCATTTGTAAATAGTTATCTTTTTGTTTTATGTTTTTTTTGGTTTGCTTTTTAAGATTTTAGCCAATATCCATTTGACCTTGATGTTGAAATGTTGCTCTTTTTAAGCTCTTATTCTTTGTTCATGGATGCAATGTCACCTCATTTCTGAAAATATGAATTAGAGTTGGTTTTATGATTTTTGTTTGCATTGTCTGTTTCTGCCAAGGTCCACCTGTGTTTATCTTGTGTTAATCTCCTTGTGGGAGGCTTTGGTCTAATCTGTCTTGGATGTCCATTTGTATTTATGAGTGAGGCCTAAAAAATTATTTTGAAAATTTCTGGGCCTTGATGAAACTTATAAATTCATCAGCCTTAACTTTATTTAATGAAATCAGAAAGGCAAAAACTCTCTCAGCCTTAGTTTCCTTATCTATTGGATGAACACATGTCAATACATACCATTAGCATCCTGAATCATTTCTGTGAGTAGAAATCTCTGAATTATTCTCTGCTAATATACAGCAACTATTTTACACAAAGGATTCCAAACATAACAATAATATAACTACTCTTTTAACATTGAGTCTGCCTAAAGCAAGTAAGTGTTAATTAGACACTCCTTCAAATCTTACACTTCTTCTGTATGACTGTGAGCAATTTGCTGAAGTCCTTTAATTCACAGTTTAATTCCCTACAAAATATGTAAAATAATTGCTGAATGACTTACCTAGATGATTAAATTAAAAATATGCACACATGCACAGAGAAAAAGATGTGCATAGTGTTTGATATATAAAAATATTTCAGTGAGCTATGTCTATCAAAATTTTATTTTCTGACAAGATAATGGATGAAGGAAAGGCTACTTCCTCTGATTCTCCGAAATCTTGATAATAGCTTGTCTATCATATGCACAAGATTTTTGTCCTATCGATACTTATTAATCTGATACCATTTGTTGGATTTATTATCTGTGGATCATATGCCAGGTTTACAGAGTAAATAAAAGTAGAATTTTTAATTTTTATTTATATGATTTATTATTATCATGGCATACAAAGAAAGGACAGCTGTGCATATCAGTTCTAGCTGACCTTAATTTTTTTTTTTTTAGCTTTTCCACTTTGCATGGCCGTTATGCTTATGGAGGTCAGGTATGTGTTCTACACCTTCAGAGCATGCCTCCAATCCTTTTAGACCAATATTTAGAATAAGCATGTATTTCATCTATTCTGTTTCACCCTTCTGTCCTTGTACTTCTCTTCGATTTGCCAACTAGACAGGCTTAAATCCCCTTGGAAATGGTTTTCCATTTATTTTATTTATTTATTTTTGGAAGCGAAGTGGAAGGGGTGGTATTTAAAGCCCAGGTACATCTTTTGAAATGCCATTCCACTCAAATTGATCCCTGGTTCTTGCTGAAATCTCTGATCCGGGACTTAAGGGTGTGACTTCAAGGCAACTTTGATTTGCAATCATTTAAACATTTTGAGTTGTAAAGGAAACATATTGGGAAAGGTAAATTCAGTAACAATACATGTGTTAGAATAACGCTGCTTTGAAGATCAAGTGTTCTGTTATCTACATTTTTATGTGTTTAATGTATCTAGTCAATTCCGTTGGTGATTCACAACAGGATTATAATGGGGAAAAGAGCTCTGGGTTGAATGATTTACAGATTTTTGGTGCTCTAGTGCCACCTACTGCAATATTACTAACTATTGCTCTCCCTACATAATGAAGATACAGGGCACTTGTGTGGGGGGGAAAAATGTGTAGAACATTGTGTCCCCAGAAGGTTAAAGCCAAAATGTTTCTGTAATTAATAGAAACACTGAAAATATCACTGTGCTCCATTTTATTATACTTATTTGATGTATTTAATAGAATTTAAAGGAAAACTCTATGCAGTTCATTCTTTAGAAAAACTGAGGCTCTCTCTTTAATTGTCATACATCTTGACATGTGCTCACTTAATCCCTACTATTTTATGTAGTTTTCTTTACTTATTTGCCATCTCTTCACAGTATTGCTCATATATACAGTTTGCATACATCATAATCCTAATTTATTAATATAAGATAGTATTTGATATGTACTTATCATGCATTGGTTATTAAGTATTTTATGCAAAGATTCTGTTTTTACCAGACCTACTTACTTAAGTAACAGAAGATTGTTACTTTAAGTAACTCAGGAGCTAGGGTATAAAGAGCATAGGGCTGGATACATACATTAAACAACTGAGATAACTACATTGGCTCATTTGCTTTGATTGCTCAACCAGATTAATCTGTGACCATGTATTGCAGCTAAATGGATAGTTCTTGAAATAATTAAATGTCTCACACGACTGATCTTTTTAGGTCTTTTGGTATGACAATAAGGATTCATCCCAGGTGCTTCTACCTATGGTTTTAACAATATTCTGATGATGTCTGCATACATGAATTTAAACAGAAAGTCATTGCTCATGTAACTTAGGAAAAATTTCAAAATGCAGATAGTTTCTTCTAAGTATCTAAGCAATGTCATTTATCCTCTACCTTCATATGCAGAGACCATCTCTATGGAAGAATTTGTTAGTGCACTGATTGCCTTTGACTGTCCCTTAGATATTCAGTATTTTTAACCAGGTGATTCATGTAGGTCACCTGTGTGCTCCTATTTTGAGATTCACAAATTTTTGTGATTTTTAAAAAAAAATTTAAAAAAGTTTACATTTAGATATTCAAATGGATACAGACTATGGAAATTAATGTCTTATTTCAAGTTGTACTGCTGATGTGGCTGCAAAGTACTTTGATTTGAATTTTGGAGTGATCTTTTCAATTTTTTTTTAAATTATAGTGATTCTATGAGGTTTTTTTGAGTAGTTAAAAATTTTCATGTCATGTATCATGTTGAATAAAAAAATCTTATTAATATTGAAAATATGCTTGTAGGGAATTTGTGGCCATGAGAACAAGTAATTTTGGTTTTATATTGAGTCTAAACAGGTAATGCTGAAGTCTTGGGATTTTCTTTAAAAAAGATGAAAGTGAGTGTGTGTGTGTGTGTTTGTGTGTGTGTGTGTGTGTGTTTGTGTGTGTGTGTAGGTATAGGTGTGTAGGTGCAAGCTTGAAACCTCATGTAAATAAAATTTTTTAAAAAAACATAAGCTACAGTATTTTAATATAGCAACTTGGTAGAAGAATTTAAAATTGCTTTCAGAGGTAAATGACTACACATGTAAATGTAAGTTCAATTTGAGAACACTTTATGGAAAGTATGCATGAACAAAGAAAGGAAAATATGTCAGAACTTAAGGAATTATTTTGTTTTCCAGGGATGTTAAATTTTTTTCTATTTGCATAAAAGATGAAAGGATTTGGGGAAATATTGAGTATTTAAACACATTTATGCCAGAAATATATATAATTCTATTCCCAAGCTTCAGAAGCTTTCACAGCTTCTCAAGAGGCCTGTGGATTGTAAATTTTTTAATACTTTTGTTTTTCACTATAGTTTTGTTGGCTTCCTGGTCATGAGAGTATCTTATAGTAAATAAGTTTAATAAATCTTTCATTTTTTCCTGATCTTTTTCTGTACCTTGTTTATAGAATTCATTCAGCAAATTATGATTGAATCTGAATATCCATTATCAGGGTCAAGTTTATTTTAGTATTTTTAATATTACCAGTAATGTACTCTGAAGGAAAATCCCGATTAAAATGCTTTTTAAAATTAACTTATGAGCTATTAATAAACACATTCTCGTAGAACCTAAGATAGTGTTAAAAGATTTTCCTTGCTATGAAGTCCAAATGAAGAAGAAAGCCTGTGAGGACAGAATTATGAGGGAAGAGGGAGGCCTCAGATTGAGAGTATGGCCTGCAGAGTCGAACAGGCTCAGACTCAACCCTGGGCTAGCATGCACTAGCCTTGCAAAGACACTTGAGTTTTCTGAGCTTCATGGGGTTTTTGCAATGCTTAAGATAAAAAAAAGAAAAGCAAAAGGCTTAGTACAGGGCATAGCATCCATTAAGCACTCAGTAACTATTAATGACTAATAATAATAACATAATACCATTTCTAGGTCTGTCTTTAAAAAAGATAAATCTCTATTTCAGTAGTTTACTCCGTCCTCCTTTTCTGAACTTTGATTAAAATACTGTACATTACATAGTTTCTTTTAAAATGCATTGCATATGAACCGCTTGGAATTAAATTCATTTTTCTGAGGTATTTAACACAGATAAGGCCTAGTGAACAGTCTACTAAATGCAAACATTTCTAGCATACTTACTCTAATATTAAAATTTTTTTCTTTTAAAAATAGTTAACTACATATATTGCCCCAGCATTCATTTCCTCACTTTCATAGTAAACATTACAGCTTATATTTTCTTTTATAAAATATTCTATATCTTGATGCTACATATTTAAATGGCAGCAAGCTAACAGGTCAGATCCCAAAAGTCTAATGGTCTGTGAAATAAGTGTTGGAGCTGGGGCATGTCCATGGATTCCTCTTTTCTCTGTTACCAGATTTACTACCTGATTTCTTCTTTATATTCATTGATCTGATGGCTTGTATCACTCTCAGGAAAAAATTAAACCTCCTTATCAGAACCACTAAAGCTTGCTCCTCACCTTTTCTCCTAAAGCTGTTATAGTCAGATCTGTTTGATTTTTACTCTGAATTTACTCATGTTCAAAACCATTCAACAATTAACTTATCCACCACTTACTATCTGGAAAATTCTTTAGTTATAGCTGCTGATCTTCCTCTTACAATGCTTGCTAATCTCCCACAGAAGGAATTTTAGTCATTAGTCTGAATCAGGTTCATTCATGAATTAAATGTCTTTGTAGGCTACTGGGTGTTGTGTCTCATGGAGTCTAAACTTTTCCAGGGCAAGGACCACACCTTTGTCACATTCAATCTTCACATCTGATAGCATGACCTCAAAACAATGAATTCTTGTTGAACCCAACTGAACCAAATTAACTCATTTCAGGGTTCAAGGATTTACATGTTGATATTAAGGAGTGTATAAAAATAATTTTAGACATTTAAAAGCACATCTCTTTTTCAGATAAAGAGAAATATATTGTTTGAAATGTATTAATACACTCAAAGCCACTTGAGTGTTTCAAATTTGGTGATATACTGTATCCTTTACCATACCATGAGGGATATTTTTCTATTCATTTACTACACGAGAATTATTCTTTAATGCTATACTAATACTTTATTTTTTATTACTACTTTTGCAAACCAATAGAATTCTAAGAACCTAAGAGGAAAAAAATATGAATAAGAGGAGAGAATAGGTGTTTAACAGAAAAAATAAAAATAACAATAATTTATATGGAAAAGAATAATAAAAAAAATTACTAAACATGAAGAGGGAAAAAATTACCCATAATCTATATAAAATAATAAAGTCATGTGCCACATAACAATGTTTTGGTCTACAGTGGACCAAATATACAACAGTGGCCCCACAATATTTTATCAACTAGTGATGCTATAGTGATATTAAATTGTGAAAGTACATTCCATCGTGTTTCACAAAGATGAAATCACCTAATGATGCATCTCTCAGAGCATGCACCCATTGCTAAGTAACGCAATGAGTGATCAGAATGAATGATCAAGAAAAAGTAGAGAAACATAATAAGAAAATACATATTTTAATAATTACACAGTACCCATCAGTTATACACATATACCACCAGCACGTGTACATAAAAATACATTTCATTCCAAGGCCTAAGCCACTGAGTGTTGATGAAGAATACTGTAGTTATACCCCTCTGGTGGCACCTCTGAGGGGGAGAGATGTTTTTAGATCAGTTTGTCCTCAGAAAATGACATCTCATGGTAGGAAGACATCTTAAATACTAGTCCATCCCTCATTCCATTTGATGCTTGGCTCCCTTTCACAATCTCAGTTAGATATCATTTGGAAACGAACTTAATATTCTTCTTGATTGTCATTCAGTAAGATAGGATAAACACATGTGCCTTTACTCTAGACTGAATGCAGCTTCTATTGTGCCAATAAAGCTGTTCTTTACAGCAATCTCACAATCTCCATGTTGAATCCAATTGTTCCAAGTAGATTCCCATGTTATTTGACTTAATTGGTTAGATTTGCTGGCCTTCTTCTTAATTTCCACTTAACTTCAGGATTCTGTTTTGGAGACTCTTTATTTTATGCAGTTTTGGGGATCTCCTTTGCCCTCATAGCTGCAATATCCAGCTATATGCTGAACTATAGTACCTGTCCAGGTGTATCTTGAGCTACCAACCTCTGCATTCAAATGCTACTGAAATTTTTTACATGGAATCTCAAGCTTATCAGATTCTCTTCTTTCATTTTCTTTTTCTTTCTTTTTTTAGTATACTGAAATTCTCCATGACCTATCTACTGTAATTCACTTTTATGTAAAACCATAAGTATGAGTGCTTTCTTTAACAGTCTCCCACATTCTTGCTCCCAAAGATTTCTAGTCTTGATGGCTACTTCCTAAGTGCTTCATGGACCCTTTCTTCTCCTGCTTTCTTTAAGAGTGCCATTTTCCTCATATTGTGTCTCTCATTTGCTTTCCTGTAGTCGTATGATTTTTTTTCTGTCTTCAATCTTGTCATCTGTTAATCCATTTTCCAATTCTCAAAAAGTTTGATCTTAATTTAAATGCTTCTTCATTACATCTACCTTCAAGACATCACTCCAGTGGCTATCCAAGGACTGTGAAACAAATCCCAAATTCTTATTCCTCTAACACTATGCCAACCACACATACACCTAGAGGTCATGACTTAAATGCATCCAGAAACCCCTAATGCCACTTCCA